GACAACTTATAAAAGAAAGTGTGTAATTTGGCTTACAGTTTCAGAGTTAGAGTAGAGGGTAGTGGAGCAAAGGCATAAAGGCAGTAAGAGCTGGGAGCTTGCATCTAAATCCACAAGTAGGGGGGCAGAGAGACACACTGGGAATGTGGAGAATCTTTTGAAACTTCAAAGCAAAATGACACACCTCCTTCAAAAAGGCCAGACCTCCTAATCCTTCTTAAACAGTTCCACCAACTAGAGACCAATTATTCAAATATATTGGCCTCTTGGAAACAGTCTCATTCAAGCCATGAATTAAGGGTTAAAAATAAAAGCTGGCTCCATAAAGGTTATGCCTACAAAAGCCATCACACTAACCTGACCAAGGATAAACAAGAGGAAAAGCAGAAGCTGCTGTGCAGAAAGGTGTTATAAAGGAAAGCGATTCCAGCAGCTGGGACCAGCTGAGGGTAGAAAGTGACAAAGTCCCAAGAGGCTGAGTGAGTCAAATGATAGTCACAAACGTGCACGTGTGATGACAAGAAATGACAAAATGGGGATTGTGGCTAAACACCAGAGTACAAGCAATCTAGTAACTATCGTGGCCAAGAGAACAAAGAGTTTGAATTTATAGAGAACATGGAATGGAAAAGTGACTGTTTCCTATCTTCTGAGTCTCATGTGAGTAAAAAAGAAAAAAAAAAAAATCAAGTACATGACTTACTGAGCCGACAAAAGATACAGGGGTGGTCTGCAACCAAGGACCACTTGCCCAGGGGTGGCACTGCCACTAGACTGGGCCTGCAAGCGTCAAACATTAACCAAGAAAATGCCCCACAGAAGTCAAGTTATGAAGGAAATTGCCAGGTAACCCTAGTTTATGTGAAGCTGACAGTTACCAACTAGTGTATAGTCCTCATCCTGTTTCCCCAGACAACCTGTAGTCTGAGATACTGTCACTGTTCAATGCTGTCTCCTCTTCTCCCCTCAAGCCCTAAAAAGGTTGAGACTTTGCTCAGTAAGTCCCAAGCCTCAAAGAGGAGAAACACACGGTAGGCAGCAACACCAACCTGATGAAGTAATGAACTCCTACCACAAGATTAAAAGAATTAAAGCAGATCGAAGAAGTCCTGCCTGCCACTTTTAGTGTTCTCTAACTCAGTTTAGTCCATCCAGATGCTCCGTCCCAAGCCCCTGGAAACCACTCCAACCTCCTAGCCTGCAATCCCCTCACATCAGCAGAGGCTGCCACAGTAACCCATCTCTGCTATCTCTAGAATATGGTCCCCCTTTCTACCCCCACTGCACCAGTTCACACTTTCCTCATGTCTAAAGTCCACAACTGAGCTTTTCCGCTTTACTTTAACTGGGGCCCTCTTTTGGATAGATTAGGCAGAGCAAAATGGTAAACCAGCAAAAGAACAGTCAGCAATAACTCAACATTCAAAAAAATATATTATCTTTGTTTCCTTTTCTCCTATTCATGTAATTACTCATATACTCCAAGGTCCAGTCCAAATCTCAGCACTTCTGAAGACTTTTCCAGTACCTTCAGGCAAAGTACATGCTATACTCTTTCTCTATGTACGGAGCCACATTCAAGGACTCACTGTAGCAATTGTTACCAAAGATTACCTAACCTCAGTGGACAGGAAACTGGTCCTGTTCTAGCACAGGACTTGGCACAAGAAAATTTGTACAAGAGATAAATGAAGACTTTGATCAAAGTGAGCAGTTATAAAGAAGAACTGGTGCTATAGAGAAAACTTGGGAAAAAGACAGCTCAGTGGGTGAGGGTGTTTGCCCCAAGCATGGCAACCTGAGCTTGAATCTGGGACTCACATGGTAGAAATAGAGAACCAACTCCCACAAGCAGTCTTCTTATCTACACGCATGCGCACACACACACACACACACACACACACTATAGTACAGGCATGTTGTTGCAGGCCTATGCATATAAACACACAAAATATAATATTTAAAATTTAGGGGAAAATACTTAACAGAATACCAAACTGAGGGATTATAAAGGCAAAGTACACGAGGCAGTTCCAAAGATAGATAAGACACTAGAGATCCCCACAAAATACTGAACTGGGAAATGAACCTTTTAAAAGCTCACACAGAAATGCAGAGGTGGAAGAAGAACCAACAAAAGAAGGGCTGAACATTCAATCAGGAACAAATTGATTTAGTTGATAAAATGTTAATGCTATGAGGATAGTTTTGGTTAAGGAAAGCAGTCTAAAATACACTATTAATCCCCTCTAATTCTATCTCCCACAGACTTTCAGGTTTGTAAAATTAAAAGATGGCTCAAACAAAATCCCTCAAAAGCCATGAAAATAATATTAATAGAAGGGAAAAAGATTATTAAAGCTAAAACTCTAAACATACTAAACTTAAACAACACTTAATTTTCTTAGAAAAGCTTACATGAGGCTGGAGAGATGGCTCAGCAGTTGAGAACACTGTTCTCCTAGAGTTCAATTCCCAGCAACCACATGGTGGCTCACAGCCATCTACACTGGGATCTGATGCCCTCATCTGAAAGGTGTACATGCACTCATATACATTAAATAAACAAACAAACAAATAAATAAATAAATCCTTTAAAAAATTATCTGTATGTGTTTGCATACATGCATGTAGGTATATGTTTGAAGAGCAGAGGTCAACTTGGTTTATTTGCCTCAATTACCTTTCCACCTTATTTGTGAATATGGTGTACATGTATGTGGTTCCATATGCACTTGCACAGGTATATATACGCACGTGTGTGAAGACATCTTCCTTATTCACTTTAGTTTTTGAGACAGGTTTCTCATTAAACCTGGAGCTCAGAGACTAAACTAAACCGCTTGCCAGCAAGCTTCAAGGCCCCACATCTCTGTCTTTCCAGTGGTGGAATCATATAGCCTCATAGCCAAAGCTGGCTTCTATAATGGTTCTGAAGATCTGCTGGATCTGAGGTTTTCATGCCTGAGCCATTCCCCTCCCCCACTCTCCATAACTTTTTAAAAGAAGCAGGTTCAGCTGTATGCATAAGGGAAAATGCAAAAGAAATCAAACTAATGCCTACCTCATTTAACACATTTTAACATACTATACAGAGCTACCCTCTGTAAAATGGCTCAGTGACTTATACTTTGGCAAAATTACTGATCAATCAAGGCAGTGCTGTATCATACACTGAGCCAAATGAATGCACATACCTTAGAAAATAAATTTGGAAATGCTTAAAAAATGAGTTAAGGTGCAAAGAAAGTAAAGAACAATGACTTACAAAATATCCAGCAAAAACTTCCCATCTACAAAGTAAATTTCTGCTCCACAGAAAGTTCTTTCAGTTCTACAAAGTGAGAACATGCTGTCCAAAGTCTAATCCAACCACTCTTCCATCTGTTCTACTCTGTAAGTTCATACCCAAATGGAAATTAAGCTCTTTTCAGGAAATAGCCAAATTTTCATTCATCCCAACAACAACAAAAAAGTACAAGAACAGGAAGACCACATTATATTAAATACACAGGTAGACAAAACAATACCCTGTACCAAGATAATCTTGAAACCGTATCACTGGGAGCGCACTTGTTACCAGAAACATGAAATGTTCAAAAAGAGTGCACTGAAGAATTTAAAAGATGAAAACTAAACAATTTTTTAGAACAACACGTTAGTTTTCTAAATGATAACCAGAGCTAAAGCATAAATTTGAACAATTAGTCACATAGTTATAAAATATAGAAACAGGACGTGTTCTGTGCAAGGCAAGTTTGGGCCTTGCCCAAGACTCTGCCTCTGTTTTGCTCAGTCATGGAAGTAGAGAAGCCTCACATGTTCAACAGTCTTCAAGGCCATCATTCCAAAGGCTGACTTCAGACTGCTAATATGTACATGCACTGTGCCCTTAACAATGTAACATACTATAAAAAGCTACTGATTGGTTGAACCTACACCCCAACATAAAAGTGAACACTACACAACAAATTAATACAACATTAAAAAAAGGATAGGAAAAAAGATAAAATCAATTCTTTAGGTCTGGCTTCATGTCTCTGAAGTTATGCTCATCATTGTTTAGATTCTTCCTCAAGGGGAAAAAAAGACGAGATCCATTTATGCAGCTACTGGAAAGCTAATAGGTCAGTTCACACAGTTACTAAAATCTAAGCTATGGCAAAAATGCTATGTGACTTTTTTTTTAACACAGCAACATTCTTAGCATACATAATATCTTATAGCTTGCTTTAAAATGGTTAAGATCCAACAAAATTTATTTTTTTTCTTTTACATAACCAATAACTTTTTGAATTAGATAGGAGAAAATTAATTCTACTGAATGGAGGGGATGATGCTTTAATAGCAATGTTCTAAAATTCAGTGAAAGGTAAAAGTAAAAACTAACAAGAACAAGCCAGAAGTTTTCCTCCACATTTAATTTACAAACTAAACCAATTGCTCCTGGCTTACTGAACTGTTAAAATGTCACATTGCTTTCACACACACAGTTTAAAAACCATACTTCATTCTAGAAGCTAATATTAATAAAAGTTAATCTTTATAAACTGTAAAGCCTTTCAAAACACAAAGCGCAGCACGGGCACAGAAATGCAAACTAACCCATCCCTAATACTAAGCACTATTTTCCCCATTAATTAATTTATTCACCTTACATCCTGACTAAGCACTATTTAAAGCATAACTTACATTTGCTCTGTATTAATTCAGCAAAGCAAGTTAGGCTGTCTTAGCTTGGCAACACTCAGATTTTTAGAGAGCAGTTCTTCCATTTGGAGGTTCATACCCAAACAGGAATTAAACTCTTCTCAAGTAATGGTCAAAATTTCATTCTTCATCACAAGAAAAATACAATAGCAGAAAAACTGCATGATATGACATACGGGTAAACAAAAGAGTAGGTGGTAATGATCTTAAACAAAGCAAACAGGTATGCAGGCTGAGAAAGTCTACACAATATATACTTGAATCACAGTACATAATTATGTTCCCCTTACCTGAGGCGCTCTCGGTAAACACTGTTAATGTCTGTCCTCCAACACTCTGTAAGACAAATGGATGCTCTCTAGGAGCGCTGACTGAAGCTGGTTTCCCACCAATATCATGAATGTTTGCAAGATCCTCGTTCAAAGTAAAGGATACCTAAAGGCCAAATTAACCAAAGCTCATTAAAACAGACATTTACATTCAAAGTATCTATATAGATATTTGGATTATGAATTGTTAAAATCTTTTTAGAGATGTGAGTCTCATAAACATTTATTTCTTAAACGTCACCATGAAATCCTTAATTCTCAGTCATACACAGAAAATTTGTCCCCACATGCCAGAAGAATGAAGCTCGTCTACCTCCCTTATCTGTGGCTGAAGAAGTCTTTCCAGAATACTAAAGTTACCTTTTACTGACATCCCTAATATCTAGCATGTGGTTGGCACACAGAAGAAAAGCAGCAATTAGCGAATGAGTATTTTAATATTGAAAAATCAACTGAACTTGAAAGGGGTAAGAAGCAAACTAGCCCTAAAAAGCTTTAAAACTCTATGCATAGGATAAACTCTATTTTTAGGCTTAACTATTACATGAATATATACTACTACTTATTTAAATTCTTTAACGTATGACATTTTGAAGAATAATTTCCATAATATGGTATAGAATAAAAAGCATTCTTTCCAAATGATCTGTAACATATGCCATCTTTCCCCTAAAGAACAACTGCTGTATTAAATATATTTATAAAATCACTGGTTTCCCAACTAGACAGGAAGATCATCAATTGTTAACTATAGAACTACTATTACAAAAGGTATCACATACACACACAGTATGAATTAGACTCAATGGTTGAAAATACAACATCCTCAAAATTCCACATCAAATGTCTCTGTCCCACAGAAATAATGCTAAAGTATTACTAAAGTATTATTATTCTGCTTCACAGTGCTGAGAGGGATAATTAGATCAAAGAAAAAAAATGTTCAGAACTTAGATGAGTCCATTAATTAATCAAAGTGGCATTTACACCTTTATGTATTCCAGACCAGCAGACATTCATTTCAATTGGAGTTTTCCAGAATGCAAACTATTACGAATGACTGAATATTCTCTCTGTGGACTGTTGTTGTCGCTGATCTTATAAAACAGGACGTGAGGTGGCATAGGCTGGCCTGGAACTTGCTATGAGCCAAGGACACTCTTGAGCTCCTGATCCATGGCCCCTTCCTCCCAAGTGCTGGAATTACAGGAATGCACCACCATGCCTGGCTCATGATCTCAGTAATTTTTTCATATAAATAATCTCACCTCAGTCCTCCCTTGATTCCTGAAAGAGAAAAAATATTTAAAATTACTTAGATTGCATATTACTTTCAAATATAAGTAAAAATGTAAAGACATGCCCAATCTTGTTGCATAAAGCAATAAACTTATCCCCATTAATGTTTATCTTTTGCTCCTATTTGAAATACTATTAGAGTGACCCCACATGTTTAGTTTATGAACTTGTATCATAATCCTATTATAACCTCTCCTAATTATATTAACTAAATGATCTTATCATTCTTATTATTTCTTAGAAATTTTAGCCTTCAGCGGTGAATGAGTATTATCTTACTACTTCCTTTGTCTAAAGATTTCATTTACATAACAAAACCTTGGTTTTCAAAAATTTACGTAGATGAGTATCTTGCTTGCATGTAAGGATGTGCACTACATACATACCTAGTGCCCAAAGATGCCAGAAGAGGGCATCAAATCCCTTGGAAATGGAATTAAAGACAGCTATGAACCACCATGAGTGCTGGGAGCCAAACTTGGGTCAAATGCTCTGAACTGAGTCATCTCTCTAGCTCCTATATAAGGAAATTTTAAAATCATCACAAACGAATGATCTGACTGTAAGAATGAAGCAAAGCAAGAAAGAGTTGGGCTACAGTATAGCTCAGTGTGAGACCACTGGTTTCAATCCTAGGACCTCCTCCTCCAAAAAAATAAAGGGGAAAGAAAGAAAAGGAGGGAGAGAGGAGGGAAGCTCAAGGTAGGAAACCTTAAATATCACAGCCCAAAGCACAGACTTTATTCTTTAGGCAATGAAGAACTGTATATGCTATTTGAATAAAAAGAAAAATAAAAAACAAAAGAAGTTCAAAGGTGACCAGCACACTTGACTTGCACCACAAAATATAAAAAATGGACTAAAGAGAAGTGAGGTGCAAAAACCAGGTAGAAACTGCTATTTCTCCATAACACTAAGCTTATTTCCAACCTGCCTTCATTAGATTCCTCATTCGCTCTGTTATTACAAGTCTTCTACCATTAGAAGTGGCAGAAGCCATTAGACACTGAGAAGAAGCACACACCTTTGTCCTAAAACATCCCAGACTAGCCTGCCATATCAACCCACCAGGCAAGATGTGCCCAATGGTGCAAGAATGGCATATCTGTCAAAGGGGATCAACTGCTCCTTGATTAGACTCGAGTCCTCTCCACAAAAGAATTCACACCTGACACAGTAAAGCTGGACAGAAACCCATGGCTGATGGAGCTGGAGAGATGGCTCTGGGATTAAGAGCACCTGAAGCTCTTGCAGAGGACCCAGGTCTATATCCCAGCAACCACATAGTGGCTCACAACTATCCATGTAATAAACATGTAGGCAAAACAATCATACATATAGAATTAAAAGAAAACACCCACAAAAACATAACAGAGCAGTTAATACTGTCATTTAGCTAAAATGTCATGGTTCCCAGCTGCCTTCTCAATATTCATATTTATATCAAAAAAGAAATGCTTCTCCCAGCCTTAATCAGGAAACCCTCTCTTTGCAGTAAATAGTGGTGAATGAAGAAGCCATGACTGCTCTAGGGGACTGAGAAAAGTTATCGGCTAAGTGTTCACCCCGAAACAGGACATTTATATCATTGCAAGCCTCAGGAAACAGAGAGGAAGAGGAATGAAAAAGACTGTGCTGGGGGTTGTTCTGCTGCTAACTAATAATAACTGAAAATAATAATAACTGATGTTAATTAATGGCTCTCAAAATCTGGTTATACCTATCCTTATTTTGTAAAAACAAAGAAGAAAACACGCAAGTATTTTTAAGATGGAAGATGGTCCAGATAAGATGGTTAAGGAGGATGGCATTGGATAGGGGCTGGGAGATGGATGATGCGGTTACTGAGAAAGTGTAGGTGAAATATCTGCCCGGCTGAAGGTAAGTAAGGCAATTATAAAATCTAACCGGTGACTGTGTCTTATCATTTGTGATAGTGAGTTAGATAATACCGCTGTGATAATCTTAGGGCTAATAATAAACATTTATAGTTCAACACTCTTTATATTTACTATAACAGACCATAAGAGCCAGAAAACAGAAAGAACTGTGAAATGCTGCTTTCTAAACATGGCACCATCAATGCAGTCATGTCCTCAGAGCAACTATGACTGTCTGTGCCCAGACTTGGACTATCAATGTTGTGCCAGGAGTCTAGCTCATTGCAAAACACATGAGGATCTCTTTATTACAAGCTAACTTGGGCTTACACACCCTCACTGCTGAAGTGGTTGAGAGCCAAGAACCTCATGTTCAGGTTAGGTGGGTGATGAATCCAGTCCCTCCCAGAGCGCTGAAAGCAGGGGGATTCTGCCTGGCAAGCGTCTACTGGTTGAAACACAAAAGGGGATGCTGCATTTTGAACTGACTGGCTATATGAAGGCCCCTAAACTATTAATGGTCTGGCTTCCCTTGTTTGGCTGTCCTAGGGGAGAGGGGCCTGTTTCCTAGCAACTGTATCTCTAGTGGGCAGAAGAATGCAGTAAGGCTGGTTCTTCCCCACAGGTAGCTGGACATGTCTCTACCTGGCTAGCCTTCGTTCAGGCTTGTGCTTTAAAGTTTAAACCAATACCCAAACTTCTTTGTTCTCTCATCAATAGTCATTCAAGGATCAGGGAAAAGTTTATGGAGCCCTGTTCCTCTCTGCTAAACACTGGCCACTGATGGAGAGAGGCAGTCTTGAGTTGTATTTTAACTGAGGAGCTACTAGACTCTAGCAGATAGTACCAAACACATGGTCACAAAGATGACCCTGGTTAAACTTAGAAGCTCTCAAAGAACAAAACAAGATCATGAATGTGAGACGGGAGGAGTATGGGTGGAAGATTAGAGAGGTGGGTTCTTTTAATCGGAATGCATGTTATACAAGTATTAAATTATCAAAGTACTAACTCAGTAAAAGTTAAAGACAGAGGCTAATGAAAATAGTTAAATACAAAAAGAATTATAAACAAATATTTTGTCAAACCAATTCAACAGAGGTGCATACAGTGTAGAGGGCAAAGGGTACTTGTGCTCACAGAAAAGCACTAGGGAAACCAGGAGTGCTGAACACTCACGGTTTTCTCTTCAAGAGAAGGTTTTACCTGTTTTCCACCCAGAAAGTTGGGAATGGAATAATTAGCAGCCTGGTGACCTGTGCTATCAGTCCACAAGGCCATATCTGACTCCCCTAGCCTCTTATGCATATCACAGTCATTCCTCCCCAGTCCTTTACCTTGAACTTTGTATCTCAGTCAATAGAACCCACCTGTGGTGGACTGGATGCTAATGGCCCACATAGACTCAAAGATTTGAATATTTGGGTCAACAGCCAGTTGGCAGTATGGAAAGGATTAGTATGGCCTTGTTGAAGGAAGTGTGCTACTGGGGACAAGCTTTGAGGTTTTAAAAAGTCCATTCCAAGTCCAGTCTCTCTCCCCTGGCCACCTGTGGATTCTGTACATGCCTCTAGCCTGTAGAACTCTCAGCTACTTCTCCAGCCGCCATGCTCCCAACCATGATGAAAATGAACTAAAACTCTAAAGATTCTGCAAACATCCTCCAATTAGATGCTTCCCTTTATAAGAGTTGCCGTGGTGATGCTGTTTCTTCACAGCAATGGAAACTCTAACCAGGACAAAAATTGGTACCAGGGATTGGAGTATTGCTGTGATAGGCCTGACCAAGCTTTTGTTTGGAGGAATGTGGATTTTGGATTAGAAAAGCAGTTAAAGCTTAATGGCCATACTAGTAGCAGCACACAAGACTGTGGTGTTGAGGATGATTTCAACTGTGGGAGCCTGGCTCAAGAGCTTTCAGAGGAGAAGAATGATATGTGGTCTAGAGACTGTTCTTGTTCTGCTCTTTAGATATTTTATTGAAGAATGGGACTGCTTTCTGCCCTTGTCCAAAAAATCTGCCTGAGGCTAAATTAAAGAGTTTTTGGATTAATTGCCTTTGCGGAGGAAATTTCACAACAGCCCAGTGTGGACTGTGTCATGTAGTTATCAGTGGCCATCCTTATGCAAATCTATAATGAAAAGGGGCAAGCTGAGCAAGAAAAGCTTTAAAAATGTAATTTGAGAAACCAGGGCACCAGGAAGCAGAAAAGAGCTAAGCCTTGTGTTCAAGGAGATAAACAGATTAGAAATACTAAATGGAATAAAAGGAGTAGTGATCTCAGGGCAAGATCCCACCCCGCTAATCTAGCTTGTTTTTTTTTTTCTCACAGAGATCCACCACCCTCTGCTTCCCAAGTGCAAGGATTAAAGGCGCTGGGATACCACCACCCAGCTAGCATTTAACTTATAAAAAGGAATTAAAGAAAAACTTAGGACCAGGAAAGGTAGCATACACCTTTTTAATCCCAGCACTGGGGAGGCAGAGGTAGGCACATTTTAGAGTTCAAGGCCAGCCTGGTCTACAAAGCAAGTTTTAGGACACCCACACCTAAGAAATGAAAGAAGAAACTACTAAAAACAGAAAGTTGGTGAAAATGTATTTAAACAAGAGGGCCACTTTTCAGCCCCAGCAAGCAGCAGAACTTAGCAGCTTCAGTCATATGGTGCAGCTTCAGCATGAAGGAAGAAGAAAGGAGTTATGTATGGAATCTTCCTCGGTGACTAAGCAAAGTTGCTGAGGCCAAGCATATGTCAGGGTGTCCTTGCAGAGAGGCCTAGAAAGGCCATTGTGTGAAGCTGTGAACGTGAATCCTAGATTGTGAAGCCAAGATGCTGAAGATACTAGTCACAGGATACCTGCCAAGAAAAACCACTCAAAGGGAGTGGAACCAGATCAAGAGAAAGAAGTGTGTTACAGTCAACAAAACTAGAAGGAGTTGGAGATTTGAAGCGCACTTTGACATCAGACATGGAGATGCAGAGTTTTGAGTTATTTCCTCCCTTTTAGAATGGTAATATATATCCTGTCACATTATATGTTGGAAATATGTGATCTGCTTTTTTATTATACTTGTGATTTTTTTCAGAGTCTTTAGACTTTTAAAC